GCTTGATTACCTTCAAGTCTTCAAGACCCCAGACACTATACTTTTTGATAGCCGGGCACCATCAGTTTTCTTCGCCACATTTGCTTATGCACCCATTTGTCTTCAACGATCCCTTCAACACCCCGTGATCACACAGGCTGATATGTTCTTCCATATGGGCTTTGTTGCTTCTGAGCCAGATGGTCACTTGTTTACTTTCAAGCTTTTAAGACCCCAGGCGCTATATCTTTTGATAGCCGGGCACCATCAGTTTTCTTCACCACATTTGCTTATTCACCCACTTTTTCTTCAGTGGTTGTGTCGGGAAGGTGAGCAACATAGAATGCCAATTTTAATAGAAGAAAGTATTCTTGCATTGAGGGAGTACTTGAGTGGAGGCCCAATGGACATGACAGGTTTTGATCTGTTGGGCCTGATTTCTGGCAAGGTTCTCCTTCCATTTCTATGGGGGGGTTCCACTGATTTCCCCCAACCTTGTCTCAGTGTTGTATAGCCTCAAGTGGATGGTCTTCTCCCTTTTCCCTCCTCTTGAAGGAGTGACCCCAGACAATGTGAGGTCTCTTCCTTCAAGGTGACTCTTGTGAGGTGCTTAAAAGGGAGGTGATGTATGGTCCTTTTCCCCTTTTGTTCAGGAATTGGTCCCTAAGATTTGTTTAATTGGTGTTTCTCCTTATGGTAGTGGACACATACAATACTTGTACTTTTGTGATTCACTTACTTCACTCAGCATAATATTTTCCAGGTCCTTCCATGTCATGCAGTGTTTCATGCTTTCTTCACTGTTTTTCAGGGATGCATAGTATTCCATTGTGTATATATACCATAGTTTCTTTATCTGTTTTCCCACTGTTGGCCATTTGGGTTACTTCCAATTTGTTGCTATTGTGAACTGTGCTGCTATGAACATGGGAGAGCATACTTCCACTCGTGTTGTGTCTCTTATTTCTTTAGGGTATATGCGTATTAGTGGTATTGTTGGATCTTATGGAATTTCAATTCTCAGTTGCTTTAAGTATCACCATATCATTTTTCACAGTGGTATATGTATTTACAAGTCCACCAACAGTATGTACGAGTTCCAATCTCTCCACATCTTAGCCACCATTTGTTGTTTTCTGTTTTTTTTAATTTGGGCTAGCATTGTGAGCTTAAACCTGGTTTCCTTTTTATTTTGGTTTTCTTTTTAGAGTTCTTTTTGTTAATATAAAGGAATCCAACGTTTTCTATCCCCCCCCCCTCCACCCCTGCCGTAGCTTTCTTGATCTTTTTCTCTATCCATTGAAAATACTTAAACATCATTCTTTTGAATTCTTTTCTGATAGATCCAATGCCTTTTCCTCCTCAAGGGGGTCCTTTGGCTCTCTGTCTTGGTCACTCATTGTGACATTCTGTCTTGATCCTTAGTGCGAACAGAAATGGCTTGCTGTCTTTGAGACATTGCATTGTTTATTTTTTTACTTCTCTTTGTTGATCTGGTGGCAATGGAGTGGGTGGTAGCCCTTGCCCATTAATTATAACTGTTGAAAGTAAGGGAGGAGGGCGGCTGGAAAGAGTGGATACATAATAACTCACGCTAGTGGCTTTCAATGGTTGATTTTTCTTTTAAGGTGCCTCTAGGTGAATGACAACTTCCAACTTTTCAGTTAACAGCCAGGTGTAATTAGCCATTGGCATCATCTTTGAACTGCACTTGACAGTAGGTGTTTAGCAAACATTTGCTCATTGATTATGTGAACGGACACCGATGCTTTTTAATTCCCCAAGCAGTATCTCTTTTGATTTGACAATCCTCCAAAGTATGCCTTTTAAAAAGAAATAATGGGGAATTCTCGTTATTATAAAAAAGCTACAGTAGCCAATTAACCAATTTCTCCTTCTCTTTTCAGAAAATGGCCACAGAAGAGAAGGTCTCTGATGAGAACATTTCCCAGTTTGATTTTTCTACGTTGTTAGAGGTCTCTGCCCTTCTGGGCATAGATGCAATTAAATTTGCAAAGCAAATAGAAGAGGTGGAGCAGAAGGACCGAGCAAAGATGCAAAAAGGCTTTAACTCAAGAATGCGCAGTGAAGCAAAGAGGCTGAAGTCTTTTGTGACCTATGAGTCGTACAGCTCTTGGACCCCTCAGGAGATGGCATCTGCAGGGTTTTACTTAACAGGAGTGAAATCTGGGATTCAGTGCTTCTGCTGTAGCTTAATCCTCTTTGGTACCAGCCTCAGGAGATGCCCCATGGAAGACCACAAGAGGTTACATCCAGACTGTGAATTCCTTTTGGGCAAAGATGTTGGTAACATTCCCAAGTATGATGCTCGGGTCAAGTATTGGGATAACAACCTGAGATCTTCGGATAAAGTGAAGTATCAAGAAGAGGAGGTCAGACTTGCATCCTTCAAGAACTGGCCATTTTATGCCCAAGGAATTTCCCCACGTGAGCTGTCAGCAGCTGGCTTTGTCTCTACGGGTAACTGGAAATTATTTACTAAAGTGTTTCGCTGGAGTTCAGAGTCCATATTTCAGTCACCTTTGCAATGTGTTGGGTGACTTTTTTCACTTAGTAGCTATGTCATATAAGATAGCAAAAAAAATCAAAATCAGACTGACTGCCATTGAGTTGATTATAACTCACAGCGACCTTGTAGGACACTGGAGAACAGCCCCTGTAGGTTTCTGAGACTGTAGCTATTTTCTCCCACAAAAAACATTCCATTAGGAGATAATGCAGATATCATATCATTCCATAATTCAATCACATCAAGCAGTATTGTACAATTGCTACCACAATCAGTTTTCAAACATTCTTTTCCTTCCTGGACTCCTTGACATCAGCTGCCTTTTACCCCTATTTCCACTGTTACCCCCCAGAAACTCTTATTCAACTCACTGCCCCTATAGGTTCATAAATCCTGGGTTTCATATACTGAAAAATAGAAAAATATTTTTAAAATTTTTTTAAAAATTGTCACCCCCATTGACAAACTACATCTGAGATCAACCCCAATATGAACAAACAAACAAGCAAAAGACAGAAAATCTTGAAAACCAGATCAGGCCCAACACGCATCAGAGTAGGGATCAACTGACAAGGTTTGAACCGTTCACGTCAGGTTTATCATTTTGATCTCCTGTAGTCATCTCTCCCGTGCACTCTCTTTGGTAACTAGTTTCTTCCCATCCCTCTATTATGGATGAAGGGAAATCACTGGAGGCTTATTTCCTATGTAGATCCCATACATGTATCTTGGGCTCCCACTGTCATCCATAACCTTCTGCAAACCAGATTCTCACAATTTAGGCTCTGATACTGTTCCCTCCTCAGGCTTCAGATGATATGATCTACAATCCTTTGGTCACTGATGTTGGTGTGCTTCTTCTATATGGACTTAGTTGATCTCTCACTTAGATGGCTGCTTGTTTGGAGACAAACCTTTAAGATCCCAGACGTTATTTTATCTGATAGTTAGGCACCATCTAATTTCTTCACCACACTGTGCTATAGCACCCATGTCTTCTGTGTTCCCTACCTGAGGGCAAGTATGAGACTGTAACTCTTTATGGGAATAGAGAGCTTCATAAATCTTCAGGAAAGCAGCTGGTGATTTTGAACTGCTGACTTTGTAGTTCTCAGTTTGACTCATAACCACGACACCACCAGGGCTGTTCTATATGAGTCTATTTTATCAGACTTTAATTTAGACATTTTACTTTAGTTGTATTTTGGACTTAGTGCAATGTGTTAACTTATATACAATAAAGTCCTTAGTTTTGTAAAATTTGATTTAAGACATATCTAAAATAAATAAATAAATAAAAACTCACTGTCATCAAGTTGTTGCTAACTCATAGAGACCCTGTAGGGCAGGGTAGAGCTATTCCTGTGAGGTTACAGGAGTAGAGAGCCTCACATTTCTTCTAAGGAGTGACTGGTGATTTCGAACTGCTGACCTGGAAGTTAGTAGACAATCTTCACTTTGAAATCGTTAAACCAACAAATTCTTCATCACAATCATCCTAACTTGCTGCTCGTGCAGTTTTAATATGTGCATACCCCCTTTTTGTCCAGACATGGACGCATTGAACTAGATAATGTAAGGCTAAGTCAGAACCATATACACCTTCTGACTTACCTACAAATTCAACTTTAAGACTTGGACTTAAGAGAGTCAGAAAGAAAAAAAGACACAGTCGGGAGCAGATGACGTTCACAATCCCGGGACTGCCCGTATTCGAAGCTTCCAAGAGCCCTGTGGCGCAACGGGTAAGCACTCAGCCGCTTACTGGAAGGTTGGCGCATCGAGCCGCCCCAGTGACTCCATGGAGAAAGACTTGGTGACCTGCTCCCAGAAAGATCGCACCTTAGCAAACCCTCTGGGCAGTTCTAGTCTGTCATATGGGGTCGCTATGACTGAAAATGGACTCAATGGCACTCAATAATAAACGTATTCTCAGAAAGTTATTTTTCCTTAAATGTGGACTTTACAAAATATTGGTTTCACTGTTAAGGGCCTAAAAATAAGTCATGAGGTAAACCTGGCCCCAGTCTCTTTCTCACTCAGTCTCCTTCCGCAGCTCTTACATGATCTTGGATTCTCTTCAATGCTATTTACTATTGGAGAGATTTTTTTTTTTTTGAAACCCAACAGAAACCTTTATTCACTTTCATGAACCCCCAAGACACAAAGTATTTCATGTAACTTACATGAGTTAAGCATGGGTGTAGAAAACCCATCTTCCCCTACTTAGTGAGATGGGTGGCTTTAGTTTGGAGCCCAAATCAAAACCCATTACACCACTGGGCACTTTCCAATCATAAATTAGGTTGAACACATACCTGGATGATCAGGTTTTAAATAAGCATTTTTCTGGTAAATACTTTTCCTGAGGCTTTGGCATTTTCTTTTGCATCTTGGTATCTCCACACCATAGCTTCAATATGACAATCAGAGACACTGCCATTGTTCCTGCCACCTACTACCTAGCTACCAAGTCCCGATGTAAAAGACCGAGATTTTTTTTAACAGTAGGGATAATTCTAATGGATAAAGCAAATTACATTTCAGAAAATTAACATTGTTTGGATTATCCTAGTCACACGACAGATATTACAACAGATGCAGATGAGAATTGTAATAACAGTAACGATCTTTTACTGAATGCCGACGTTGTGATTGGCACAGGATTGAGCACTAATCCTACAAATGTGGCCCCTTGCCCCACTTCACAGTCCAAGGCACTGAGACTCCCAGTGTTCAAGAATCTTTACCTGTGTTTCCACAGTAAGTTCATGGCAAATCTGAATGGTAGATCTTCTGACTGTGTTTTACTTCTGGGGGTGTGGCTTTCCCATCGCAGAGCGAAAGACTGCGCTGTGAAGCAGTGTGGGGAGGGAGACCTATTGAGGGAAACGGGTGAGAGTTTAGGGTGAAAAGTACAGCCATGGCCAAGGAATGGCGTGCCAGAGCTTACAATGTGGTCCTCGAGGCCTGTGGCTGGAGCTGCAGTGAGAGCAGGGCGTGAGTGTCCTTCACACACTGCACAATGAATGGACTCCAGGGGACACACCCTCTGGGCCATCTAAATGTTTCCCTTCCTTTGTAGGTAAAAAGGACACCGTGCAGTGTTTTTCCTGTGGTGGGTGTTTGGGAAATTGGGAGGAAGGAGATGATCCTTGGAAAGAACATGCCAAGTGGTTCCCCAAGTAAGTGGATATATATTTCTTTTTGTTGAAAGTGTTCAGGTTTTCATAAGAAACAAAACTCAGCAGGCCCATTTTCTTCTACCTACCATCTTGATCTTTCCCTATCCAGAACCAGACCACCCCAGGATTTATTCAAGCAGAACTGGTTTGCTAACCACAACGTCAGCAGTTCAAAACCACTAGCCACTCCCTGGGAAACAGATGAGGCTTTGTACTCTTGTGAAGATTTACTGTCTCTATTAAGGCATTTTCCTTTCATCTGGAGATGAATGCTTTTACATCTGGAGATCTTTGTAATACCCATTCAAAATGACTTTAAGTCTGCTCGACGTACTACACAATTTAGAGCTGTGATTTTGTTGCTTATTTGGGGTTTTTTTGTCATTCTCTTTTTTGTCTTCTACTCAACATAAGTGTGGGTGTACCTTCTCCCCAGAACCTTAGAGAAGCTTCCAATTCTAGAGACTCTTCACCAACAACTCCGATTTGGGGGGGCTGAAGAAAATGATACATCCTTGCAAATGTCATCTGCGAGGCACCCTACGCAGAGACTGCCGTCTCTCCTGCTCCTCCACGGACCTGCTTCTTCAGGATAACCCGGAGTCTTCCACCAGCCCCAAGGCACAACTGCCTGACTGAAGAGAAGAGCCCAGTGAAGAAGCAAAGTAAGGGATGGGCAAGAAACGGACGGTCTGATCTGTGTTCTCTCAGACCCAGTTGTGCATACTCAAAGAGGGATGCCGGAAACAGAAAGACCTCAGCCTCCAGCAGATGCAAGAACATTCCAAAGTCCTGAATCTCCGCTACAAACAGGTTAAGCTCGGGCTCCAGAACCAGAGAAGGAAACGTAAGAGATGACAGGAAACCATCAACTGGTCACAGAAAGGCCCTGGTGTGACTCAGGCCTCTGCGCCCACGGATACCTGGACCTCTGTGCGTCCTCCCACCTTCTGGAAACCTTCGGATGGGGAGTGCTCAGAACTGGAACAGCGAGACCTGGGACACCAGAGTTGGAGTGGTCAGGCTCTGAGCAACCAGATCTGGAAGAGCAGCCAGGTGTGGACTAGCCAGACATGGTACACCCAAACCTGGAATAACCAGTCCTGGAACAACCCTTTCCGGAGCTGTGGAGAGGAAATCCTGCTGTCCCAGTTCCAGCAAACGTCTCTCTGTGATCTGGAGGCTGTACAAACTTTAGATTTCTTTTGAAATGAGTGCAGAGGTGTACGATCTGAAGATGTGTGGAGATAGACGTGTAGCTCCATGTCCATCTGAGCAGTGACTGCATGACTTCCTTTTTATAGGATTTCTTGTTTTCTTAATCATTTTATTGGGGGCTCTTCCAACTCTTGTTACAAACCATACATCAATTGTATCCTACATATTCGTACATATATTCCATCATTCTTCTCTAGGCATTTACTTTCCATTGAGCCCTTGGGATTAGCTCCTCTTTTTTCCCCTCCCTTCTCCCCACACCCCCACAACCCTCATGGCCCCCTGATAGGCTGTAGATTGTTCATTATCTTCAAATCTCACACCGACAGCTGTCTCCCTTCCCCTCTGGTTTCCGTTGTTCTTCCTCCTGGCTGGGGGTGTGTGGTTATGTGCCCTTCATTGTGATCAGTACCCCCTTCCTCCCCACCTCTCCCCCCTTCCCCTGACCCTTTTGGATCTCTATTCCCATTCCTGTTCCTGGGGTCCACGTGTTGTGAGTTTTATCTCTTGTCTATACCTATGTACATGCTCCCGTCTAGTCTAGACTGGGAGGCGGCACTGAGGTCGTGATAGCGGGGGCGTGAGGAGGCCTCCAGGGAACAGAGGTATATCGTGTGACCCATTAGTGCTCTACTGCACCCTAATTGACTCAACTCCTCCCTGTGACCTCTCTGTGGGGGGATGTTCCATTGTCCATAGATGGGCTTTGGGTCTCCGCTCCAACACCCCTCCATTCTCACCAACGCATTTTTGCTTGTTTGTTTACTGTTTGTTGTGACTCTTCTGATGCTTGTTGCCCAGTCTCGATGACACTTAACGGTCACACTTGCTAGTGTGCTTCTTCCATATGGGCTTGTTGCTTCACCGTTGAATGGCCGTTTGTTTAACTTCAAGCCTTTAAGACCCCAGACACTATATCTTTTAATAGTCGGGCACCGTGATCATGAGATGTTGAAGGGATCAGGTATCAGGCATCAAAGAACAAAAAAATCATATCATTGTCAATAAGGGGAGTGAGGAGTGGGGACCCAAAGCCCATCTGTAGGCAACTGGAGATCCCCTTACAGAAGGGTCACAGGGAGGAGACGAGCCAGTCTGGGTGCAGTATAGCAAGGATGAAACATACAACTTTCCTCTAGTTCTTAAATGCTTCCCCCATTCCACTATCACGATCCCAATTCTAACTTACAAATCCGGCTGGACCGGAGGATGTGCACTGGTACAGATAGGAACTGGAAACACAGGGAATCCAGGACAGATGATCCCTTCAGGACCAGTGTTGAGAGTGGTGATACTGGGAAGGTGGAGGGAGGGTGGGGTGGAAAGAGGGAACCGATGCCAAGGATCTACATATAACCCCCTCCCTGGGGGACGGACAACAGAATGGTGGGTGAAGGGAATCCAACAAACACAACATTTTAGATTCCATGCTTCTGTGAATCAGTCTTTGATTGTATTACATGTTTTAGTAACACTTCATCCACATGTCCTACAGCTCAATAATTCAATCATATTAAGAAGAGTGGTGCATGACATGCTTTGTTTCAAGGGAGAAGATTATCTGAAGATGCCATTCTAAGTTACCACATGTTGTCACCAACAGATATAAAGATTAATTATATGAGAATAACTGTTGTCCTAGACAAATTTTGGTGGTAGATTTTTGAAAGTTTTATTGTACTAGAATAAAAGTCACCAATTTTAAGTGTATGAGCCAGTAAGATTTAGCAAATGTGCAGCGTGCAACCTTCACCACAGTTCAAATAGGGGATATTGCTAACACAATATCGGGTACATTTTAATTTTATGCTTATTAATTACAGATGTGAATTTCTTCTAAGTAAGAAAACCTCAGAGGAAATTGCCCAGTATATTGAAAGCTACGAGGGATTTGTTGATGTCACGGTAAGTTTGATTCTCTAATAAAATCTGAATTAAAGAGGAAGGCATGGGTTGTTTTGGTTGTTTTTACCTTCATTGGCTCTTCTTTCTTCTCCCTTTTCTTTTCATCTTCCCATCACCACCCCTCCCCACCCTCTGCTCTTGGCGCATGGCGGCTAGGGTGGTGGGGGGGTGGGGGCAGGAAATCACATGTTCTCGATAAAATGGAGCCCCTAGAATGTTTTCCCAAAGCTGACTCTTGATTCGTTCGTTTTGCTTGTCTTTCCTTCTGGTCTTGCCCCCGCGAATGAGATTAACTCCCCAAGCTGCTCATGGGAAAGTCTGGGTGACATGTTCTGACCCAAGCCACCATCGTCCACAGCACAGCCCAGCTGGTGCCCCGAGGACTCCAAGCTGGTTACTTTGTCCTCTATCAGTAAGGGTTAACTCAGTCGCAACCCCAAGGAAATCCAACCCAAATTGACTTGTGCGAAAAAGATGATTTATTGGCTCACTTGACTCAGAAGACCCGAGCAAGTGGTGGCCACTACCCAGAGAACGTGAACTAAGAGTGGAGGAGGAGGAGGGCTTTCTCCGGAGGGAATCTGGGTGCAATGATCGGAGGAAGATGATTTGCTTCATACTTAAGACCCTTCTGAATCCATTTCCTTCTTCTCTTTCTCAGTCTTTCTCACCTCTTCGTGAGCAAAGTACATCTGTGATATCTAGATACATTTTTGTTTCTGAAATGGCTCTGTGGGAAATGTAACCCCTCGAAAGTGTGTTCTTTCTAGGGTCTAGGTAATTATTCACAACGATTGTGATTTGTATTACATTAAACAAACACTCCAACATTGATGGATAAAGGAACAATTCTTCAACAATCCCGCCACCTCATCCAATGACTATTTTTCTCTTATGGAGTTCTGTGCAGGGTTCGTTAATGGGTAAGTATATGGTTTATAGGCCAAATGGCCCATCACGTGCATTTTCCTTTTCCTCAGGGCGAGCACTTTGTGAATTCCTGGGTCAAAGGAGAGTCACCGGTGGTTTCAGGTAAAAGTCAGACATATGCTGGAGGCTTGGCTGACTTCTTCGCTCTTTTTGCCCCTAATTTTAATGTTATTTAAGAATATTGTGCTTAGAGTAAACATTGACAGAGCAAAGTCGTTTTCCGTACAATCACTTGAGCACATCTTGTTTCATGACCCCAGTTGCAGTCCTGTCAGTGAGACCTGATCACGCTGATGACTCCCTCCCTGAAGCCCCCTTCTTCTCAAATTCCTCCCATTGTCCAGTGACATAAGGTGCCCTCTTCCTTCTCTTTACACACGATTGTCTGGTGTTCTAGAAATATGGAAACATAGCTGGATAGGTTATTTGATCAATTCTCCCTTTAAAAAGAACCAAAGTTTATGAGTAAGAAGAATTCAAACAATATATGTGAATCAATGTGCTAAGCAGTTAAGAGATGTTGCTGCTGAAAGTCATGTGAAAGCAGTCATGCCGGAGTTACACGGAACATTGGAGCACAGTTTCACCTTTAAGGACGTTTGGTGAATTGAGCTAACGTGAGTTACATTTTCAAGTGCTCATGGTGTGTGTGTTAGGCAGGGTTCTCTAGAGAAATGAAATCAGGATACTTATGATTTTATATATATATATAAAATGTATATATATATATGTGTGTGTGTGTGTGTAGGTTTATACAACGAGAAGGAATATGACAGCTAATTAGTCTACACAGCAGTACAGAGGGTTCAGTTCAACTCAGTTTCGTGGAACAGTTAATATACTGGAAGTCCTTCAACTCACGTGGGCTGCCAAGTCCAAGGTCAAGGAAACAGACAGCAGAGTCCTCCCTGGGTCATGGCGAGTAGAGTCTGCCCACAGGCAGCAAACAGCAGGGTGGGTCACCAACAGTCAGTAGCTCAGGAGCTTAGCGAAGCAGGCCCAGATGGGATATCAAATGCAAGCAATGCAAGGCCATGAATCCACCAGCCTCAAGCTCAAATGATATACACACCAGCAGCATGGCAAAGCAGGTCTCGAAGGGGCCACACGTTCTAACGACACAATGCTTGGGTTGGCCTGGCCCACAGATAGTGTAGCTCACAGGTTGAGGCAGAGAACTAGCTACCCTGTGGGTCAACCTGTGGGTTGTGACCCCTTTAGGGGTCAAATGACCTTTCACAGGGGTCGTCTGATTCATAACAGTAGCAACATTACAGTTATGAAGTAGCAATGAAAATAATTTTATGGTTGGGGGGGTTCATCACACATGAGGAACTGTATTAAAGGGTTGCGACATTAGGAAGGGTGAGAACCACTGAGCTACAGCATCAGCACTTATGCTCCAGCACGCAGTCATCACCAGAGAGCAAGAGAGAGGGGGGTGGAGCTTGCAGAGCCATTTATCTTCTCCTTGCCCTCCAATCAAATTGCGACCTGATTAATCCCACATGTTCCTATTGACCAGGTTGACACAATAAAACTAACTATCACAGGGTGCAAAAGACAGCAACCCAAACCCAGGATCAACCCAAGTGGAAAGACCATCCTGTAAAGATACAAATATTGTCTTTTGGATTTATTTACTAAAAAAAAAAAAAATCTTGTTAGGTACTTTCCTAAGTTTATGAGATTCATTAATGAACAAAAACACAAAAATCTATTCCCTCACTCAATTTTGATTCAATTGATACTCATATTTTGATTAGAAAACCCTTCCCCTGATAGCAAAGGAAGAACAGGGGAGGGTGTTCATCAAAACGTATCATCAATGATTATTTGCTGATGATAAAAAAAAATTCAGCATAGACTATTGCCTCTTTGGTAACCCACTTTGTGACATTGTCACAAAAAAATAATCGGTGGGGGTTTGGTTAATAAAAGCTCAGATGTTATGATCTGCTTGTCATTTGACAAATGCACATGCTAGTGTCATGGGTAGAATTTCCTTATTTCTAGGACTACAGGACACTGACTCCTGTTTTCCCTGTCGAGAAGATTTGGAGCAGTGGCAGGATGGTAATGACCCATTACAAGACCCCACCAGGTGAGTGGATTGAATGTTTAGTGTCCGTGAATTGGATGCACTTTACCAAGTGTTTCCCCACCTCCCACCCCTTATCTCATCTTCTAATTAAGTCTTTGCCTATTCCTCTGATTCACACTATGAAGGATGAGTTGTTATCCCCTTCACTCTCTTATTTCCACAGTACCCATTTTATGGATCCTAATTCACACTATAGTTATGTTATGCTTTTGGTTTGGTCCATATTTAATGTTTACATTATCATGACTATTTTAATGCTGTACAAAGCTGAACTTTGTAGTCTATAATGATTTATTTTCTTTCTCTATACCACTTTTTAATTTTCCTAGGAAGTGATCATTGTATCCATGAGTACGTTTGCTCAGTTTTTAAAACTTGAGTTGAAATTCATGTAACATAAAATGAACTATTTTTAAACACACCAGTGGCATTTAGTATAATCACTGTTTGTTCCCTCTGTCTAGTTCCAAAATATCTTTATAATCCACCCTCCAAAAAACCCTGTACCTTTTAAGTAATCACACCCTGTTTGTCACCCTGGCAACCACCAATCCGCTTGCTCTCTCTTTGGGTTTACCAATTCTGAATATTTCATATAGATGGAATCGTAAAAGATGCAACTTTTTGTCTCTGACTTCTTTTATCTAGCATAATCTTGTTTAGATTATGCCACATTGTAACATATTATCAGTACTTAATTCTTCTTTAGGTATATAAAATAACTTGTTCACCATACTTCTGATGATGGACATTGGGTTATTTTCTCCTTTTCACTACTGTGAATAGTGCTACTATGAACATTTGTACACACGTATTTTATTTGAGTTTTTGTTTTTATCTCTTTTGAGTCTATCGTAGTAGTGAAATTATTGGATTATATGGTAATTTTACATTTAATTTTTTGAGGAGCCAGTAAACTATTTTTAACATAATATCCACCAATATGATTCCAATATCTCCATATCCTCCCATCTTGTATTTCTTTTAATAGCTATGTGTGTTAGGGTGGGCTCTCTAGAGAAGCAAACCAATGACATTTATATGTTTTTGCATATACATATAGTGTGCATATGAATATATACACCAAATATATCCATTCGTTATATTTATATAAAGAAATGGCTCATACAGTTGCAACAGGATTAAGTCCAGTGTCCTGACGGGTGTAACCACATTGGCAGACTAAAGGGATCTGGAAGATGAAGAGGAAGCAGGAAGGTCACAGGCTGGTGGATGCTGACATGAATCCATTCAAAACTGGCCAAATGAATCCAAAGTCAGGAGCCTGCAGGACTGGCAGGCTATGTTACAGGAGGTTGGAAAACCAGATGCAGGATCCCAGCTTCCACACCTCTCAATTAATACTGAGTATGTTGCCTCATTTGAAAAAGAAATCAAGCATCAAGTTGCAATATTGAAAGATTCTACAGGCAAAATATTGAACAATGCAGGAAGCAGCAAAAGAAGATAGAAGGAATACACAGAGTCACTGTACTAAAAATAATTAGTCAACTTCCACTATTTCAAGAGGTAGCATATGAGCAAAACCAGTGGTGTTGATGGAAGAAGTACTGAAAGCATTAGCTAAAAATGAAGCTCCAGGAATTTATTGAATACCAATTGAAATGTTTCAACAAGCTGATAAAGACTGGAAACACTCATCTATGTCATGAAACTTGGAAGACAGCTACCTGAACAACTATTTGTACCCATTCTAAAGAAATGTGGCTGGACAGATGCTGAAATTATAGAACAGTATTAATGATATCAAGTAAAATGTTGCTGAAAATCATTCAACAATGGTTGTAGCAGTGCATTGATAGGGATTTGCCAGAGGTTCAGGTTGGGTTCAGAAGAGGTTGTGGAACAAGGGATATCATGTCAGCTGATGTTAGATGGATGTTGACTTAAAGCAGCGAATACCAGAAAGATGTTAACTTGAGTTTTATTGACTCTGCCAAGGCATTTGACTGTGTGGATCATAACAAACTATGGATAGTCTTGAGATGAATGGGAATTTCAGAACACTACATTGTGCTCATGTGGAACCTGTATATGATCAAGAGGCAGTTGTTCTAATGGAACAAAGAGATATACATGGTCTAAAATCAGGAAAGCTGTGCATCAGAGTTGCATCCTCTTACCATGCTTATTCAATTTGTATATTGAGTCAGTAATCAGAGAACCTGAAATATATGAAGAAAAATGTGGCATCAAGATTGGAGGAAGCATTATCAAGGGTTCATGAGGGAGATGGGGGCAGGGAGGGAAGGGAAAAATGATTTTTTAAAATTACCTAGAGGCAAAAAAAGAAAATATTAGGTCAAGTCGTCTAATTGTAATATTTAGATCTGTAGCCTCTTTGTTAAGCTACTTTCCCTTTGAACTATCTTTCTCAAAGAATGGTGTATTAAAGTCACCTATGATAATTGTTGAGCCTGTAATTCCTTTTTTTTATCTTTTGGAGTATTTGGTTGATGAATTTCACTGGTCTCTCATTGGGAGTGTATATATTTATTATGGTCGCTGGTTCTTTGTCTACTGTTTCCATGAGCATTATATAGTGCCACTCCTTATCTCTTGTTTTGCCTTGCACCTTGAGATCAATTTTGTCCGAGATTAGGATTACAACCCCTGCTTTTCTTTGAATTGCCATTTTCTTGGTATGTTTGATTCTCAGCCTATTTTTATCTGTAATCTTGAGATGTATCTCCAGTAGGCAACAGATTGACGGCTTGGGTTTTTAAAGCCAGTGTGCTAGCCTCTGCCTTTTAATGCCTGAGTTCAATCCATTAATATTCAGGGTTATTACATCCATCTGTGGACTCTGTCATGTCATCTTGTACCTTTTGTGTTAAGTGTTTTCCTACCTCCCTTTCTTATCACTGTATTGTGCATGTGTTTTTTTGTTTTTATTTTTAATCATTTTATTGGGGGCTCATACAAATCTTATCACAATCCATACATGCATCCATTGTGTGTCAAGCACATTTGTAAACTTATTGCCCTCATCATTCTCAAAACATTTGCTTTCTACTTGAGCCCTTGGTATCAGCTCGTCATTTTACCCCTCCCTCCCCTTTTCCCCCTCCTTCACAAACCCTTGATAATTTATAAATTATCATGATTTTGTCATACCTTACACTGTCCGATGTCTCCCTTCACACACTTTTCTGTTTTCTGTTCTCCTCCTAGGGAGGAGGTTATGTAGATCCATGTCATTGGTTCCCCCTTTCTACCACACCTTCCCTCCACCCTCCCAGTATAGCAGCTCTCACCACTGGTCCTGAAGGAATCATCTGTCCTGGATTCCCTGTGTTTCCAGTTCCTATCTGTACCAGTTTACATCCTCTGGTCTAGCCAGATTTGTAATGTAGAATTGAGATCATGATAGTGGGTGGGGGAAGGAAGCATTTAAGAACTAAAGGAAAGTTGTATGTTTCATTGGTGCTACGCTGCACCCTGATTGGCTCGTCTCCTCCCTGCCACCCTTTTGTAAAGGGATGTCCAGTTGCCAACAGATGGGCTTTGGGTCCCCACTCTGCACTCCCCCTCATTCACAATGATATGATTTTTTGTTTTTTGATGCCTGATACCTGATCCCTTCGACACCTCGTGATCACACAGGCTGGTGTGCTTTCTCCATGTGGGCTTTGTTGCTTCTGAGCTAGATGGCCGCTTATTTACCTTCAAGTCTTTAAGATCCCAGACACTATATCTTTTGATAGCCAGGCACCATCAGCTTTCTTCACCACATTTGCTTATGCACACATTTGTCTTCAGCGATCGTGTCGGGAAGGTGTGCATCATGGAATGCTACTTTAATAGAACAAAGTGTTCTTGCATTGAGGAAGTAATTGAGTGGAGGAGGCCCAATGTCCATCTGCTACCTTAATACTAAACCTATAAATATATTCACATAGATCTATTTCCCCATCATCATATAAAAATATATTTACATATGTACCTGCCTGTATTTAGACCTCTATAAATGCCTTTTGCCTCTTAATTCTTTCCTCTATTTCCTTTTACTTTCCTCTTGTCCCACTGTCATGTTCAACCTTTGTTTGGGTTTCGGTAATTCCTCTCGGTTACATTGCCCTTGATCAAGCCCTACCAGGCCTCTTACACTTCCTTGCCACTAATTTTGGATCACTTGTTGTTCCCTTGTTCCTGGGTTGGTGAACACCACTTCCTTTCCCCCACCTCCCCCTCTCCCATATCCCCCTGGAACCATTGGTCCCGTTGTTTTCTCCTCCAGATTGTTTATCCTGCCTATCTTATCTAGTTAGACTTGCAGAAATAATAATATGCACAAAAAAACAAGACAGCAAAACAAAGAGACAAAAGAAACCAAAACATGGACAACAACAACAAAAAAACCTATGTCAAAAAAAGAGAAAAGCCTGTAAATATTTCAAGGTCTGTTTGTTGACCTTTAGGAGTGTTTTCCAGTTGAGTGTGATAGGACACCACACCCTCACACCAAAATCTATTTTTTTTCTCCATCAGGACTTCCTTTCTCTGATCCCCTTGCTGTTCTGTTGCACGCACTTAGTGTTTTGCCTCGGTGTGGTGGGGTCAGATTGGGTGCAATTCCAACACTGTGTCTCTAGTGCTGTCCCCTGTAGGGTTATGGGTCAGTGAGGGATGTCGTTTCTCATAGTTGGGCCAGCCCTATTGTCCTCTCTGTGCACTGGCTTCTCTGAGTGGGGATATCCTCCTCAAGCTTGGTGGGCGAGGATGTGCTCCACTCTCTCTTCCTCCCCCTTCATTTGATCCCATATTGTGCATGTGTTTTTTCGTGTGTGGTTCATTTTTACTTCTTGCCACCCTTTAGTCAATGCTATTTTGGGGCTGTTTTCTTTTTGTTGCCCCTGTTGGGTTTGTTCTATGTGGTCATCTCTTATTTGTGCTTAGTGAGTTCTATTCTTCTGCCCATATTGGGTCGGCAAGGATCTTTTGTAGGGCTGGGTTTCTTTTAACATATTCCTTGAGTTTTTCCTTGTCTGGGAAGACTCCTACTTCTCCATCTATCTTGATAGATAATTTGGCCAGAAAGAGTATTCTTGGGTTTGTGTCATTTTCCTTCAATTTTTGGAATATGTTACTCCACTCGCTCCTCTTTATCATAGTGTCTGCTGATAGGTCTGAACATAATCCCAGTAGGGTACCTTTATATATGACTGTTTTTCCCTAGCTGCTCTTATGATTTTCTCCTTTTCCTCAAAGTTAGATAGTTTGACTATTATATGCCTTGGTGACTTCTTCTTGGGATACAGTCTAGCTGGTGTTGCCTCCTGAAAGGTTGCCTGGTTTTCATTCATTAAGCTGGGGAAGGTTTTGCCATTGACTTCTTCGCTGTGTTTTGTTCAGTATTTTTTTGTTCATTATTCTAATGTTTTCCTCTTAGTATCAGACATGTCTCTCAGGTTTTCCTCAGCTTCTCTGATTATTTTTTTTTTTGACTGCCTTTCGAGTTTGTTGAAGTCTGCCTGGCTATCCTCTAGGCCAGTGGTTCTCAACCTTCCTAATGCTGCAAACCTTTAGTAAAGTTCCTTATGTAGTGATGACCCCATATGTGGGCGTATCTGCATGTTGGTGGACCCGCCTGGAGATGGATAGAGGAGCAGTGTCTCGGTTCCTAAAACCATCAGAATATGATCTTAAGCGACCCCTGTGAAAGGGTCATTTGACCCCCAAAGGGGTTGCAACCCCCAGGTTGAGAACCACTGTTCTATGTCACTGATGCAATTATCTGTGTCCTCAAGCCTCTTGACAAAGTCTGTGAATTTGATACAGGTTTTGTTATCTCATTCTAGGTCTTGTACTTCCCTTTGGTGTGTGGCCTTTATCTCCACTGTCATTCCAACCTTTTCCTGTATTGTTTCCCTCATATCCTGTATTAGTTCAAGCAGCATTCTGATTTCTTTCTGTGGCAGATCAATGTCTGCTTCTTCTATGCACGTCCTTGGGTTCGGGACTTCTGACATTGCTTTTGTTACTCCTGTTTTTTCATTGAGGTTGTTGTGGCTGAATGTGTTGTTTTAGAGGAGCCTGGTGCCATTTTCCAGAGTCAAAGAACACTGGGCTCTCTCTTTGGGAGACTGATAGGAATGCTTCTTTGAACTGATTGCAGGTAATTGCACTGTGGGATCAGGCTACTGCTTTATCCTTCTGTGGGTTCACTCTTTCCCTCACCAACCATTATTCTGTTATATGGAAAGTTGGATGGTCCTCTCAGGGGACACTGGTTGGGTGCTTGTGGACCTTCAAGGATGGTGCTGTACTGGATGATCTCACAGGAAGCCATGGTGGTGTTTCTCATGGCAGCTTGAGGTACCACAGAGGGTGTGCAGGGGTGCCTGCTGCAACAGGAGTGCTGCGGAGGGCGGGTGGGTGTACCTGCTTTGGTGTAGTAGGCACCATGTATAGTGGGTGGAATTGCCCTAGTCAGCTAGATTGTCGCGTAGGTCAGGCAGAGGTTCCTGCAGCAGTGTGGAGCACTGGAGAGTGTTAGTGGAGCTCCCTTAGGCCATGGGAGGCACTATGGCAGCAGGAGGAAGTTCCTTCAGCCACATGGGACCACGGAGAATGGGCAGGGGTTTCCCAAGCCACGTGGAGCACTGTGGAAGGTGGGCAGAGGTTCTCCCAACCAAGGGAAGCACCCCAAATGGCAGGTGCAAGTTCCCCGAGTGGCTTAAAGGGCTGTGGAGGGTAGGTATGAGTTCCCCTGTGGTGGAAGGTAGGTGGGATTTCCACAGCCTCGTGTTATGCTGCAGAGGGTGGAGGTCACCAGTGGCATGTGAGAGGTAGAGAAAAGGAAAAAAAAAACTGAGCCTGCTGAGACTGTGGGGGGAAAGAAGAGAGAGAAACAAAAGCAAAAATATAGCTGAGCCCCAATGGCCTGACTGTGGGGCTGGAGGGGTTTAAACCTTGCCCAGAGGTAGTGGCTGGCCCAAGGCCCTTACTTCAACACAGCCACAGCTTGCTGACTCTTGCTGAGTCTGTGGCTGGGCTAAAGTTAAATCTTGGCTGGCCTCCACAGTGGTAAGCCTAAAGCACATAGCTGCTCAAAACCTAGTGGATCTGTGTCTACTTATCTTTATGATGCTCCTCTTGTGACCCTGCAGTGTGGAATTTTCCTCTCAGTTGATCTCATGTACTGATTTCAGTGGAGTCCGTCTGGTATGTGTTACTTGGTCACTATCTTCAAGAACTTTTGTCAAGACCGTAATTTTTATTGGAGTAGAAAGCATCGTGTTTTTCTCTCAGAGAATCTGGTAGTTTCAAACTGCTGACATTGGTAGTTCAACACATACCCACTATGCCACCAGGGCCCCTAAACATCTAGAGCCAATGGTTAATTTTCACACAGTTGTTTTGATAACGTTTATCTTTTCTGCACAGTTGTCAACTGCTCCACACTATGAAGTCCTCTGCAGAAGTGATGCCATACCTTCCGAGCCACAACGAACTTTCCAAAAAAATGGTAGTAAACACCACCACTCTGTTTCTTTTCGTGGGGTGTGATTGTGAGATAGAACACAATTTAGAACAAAAATTATTTATCAAGCATAAATAAGTAAAAGTTAAAAATACCTACTGAGCACCTGCTATAGAAACCTATCATGTTCTTGATGTAATGGGACTACTGCAGTCCACCAGAGACAAGATGTCCGGCTTCAGGGAACATATAGGCAACCTCTTCTACTTTGGGGCACAGACTCTTACATTTAATGGCAACTAGCATCCCAGTTACTTGGATTACATCTGGACTCTTTCTTCCTTCAGAGGGCAGTAAGAGAACTGAGAACTGAGTTTTGGGTTTTAACAAAAGCAAATGACAAACCAAATCATAAGCCCACATCACAGACTCTTTAAGTTTCAAAGCCCTCCATAGTTCTCCCTCACAAGCCGCTATCAACTCAATGAGCACACACACACACACACACACACACCCCACCTTATTGTGAGCTGTATATTGTATTTGTCATGCCACAAAAAGAAACTGGAGTAACTTGTCATTCACTGGATTCATCTTTTATATTTGTGAATTGAAAATGGAAGGGAAACTCTTAGGGTGTCTATAAAAATGAATTTGCTAATTTTTAAAGGAAACACATAACCTTTCTCCCAGATATATGATATTGAAAACGCAGTTAATAAGCAAGGGCAGAGACTGTGCCTCATGATCTTGGGCAATGCCTTTTTCCTCTAGGTGCTATGATTCTGGTTGCCTGCATAGTATGTACTGTGGCTTGGTAGCATAGTTACTTATGCACTGGGTGGCTAACTATAAGGTCAGCACTTTGAACCCAGAGAAGGACGAGACTGTCTGCTTCCATAAAGATTTACAATCTCAAAAATCCTAAGGAGGAGTTCTATTTTATCCTATTTGGTTGTTCTGAGTTAGAATTGACTGGATGGCCATAGGATAGTATCCACCACCCTATTCACCTGTGATTTCTATAATACGGCACACACACACATTTGCATATTATTTCTTGTTTAATGTTCGCAGTGTGTTAGTCTAGGTATATTAGAGAAACAAATCCACAGAAACTCATGTGTATAAGAGAGAGTTTTATACAAAGGGTAAGTGCATATCAAGAAAACATTCCAACCTAGTGCTGCCCAAGCCCACAAGTCCAACATTAGCCCATATGTCCAACACCAATCCACAAAGTCTTCCTCCATCCCACAAAACACACGCAATGATGCCGACTGCAGGAGGAAAGCCGAGTCAGTGAACGTGTAAGCATCTCAGCATTGGCAGGGGTCTCCACACGGCTGCTCCAGCACCCAGGGCTGCATCAGGGTAGGTCTATGTGGTTTCTCCTCAGGAATGTCTTGCAGGAAGTGAGTCTTGCCAGCTGAAGCAGGAACTGGTTAAGGCAGCTGCACCCTGGTCCGGCCATCACAAAGCAAGAGACCTGAGAACTGGAAAGGCGAGGCTCACTGAGCCATTTATCTCTTCGCCCTTCAATTTAACCCCACATGTGTTTATCGGCCAGGTTGACACAATAAACCTTAACTATCTCACACGAATCTTCCCTTTGACTAGCATAAGTATTTGAGGATGGGTTGCATTAGAAGATATTTAACCTCCAGTTCTAACATAAGACCCCAATCTCTTATTTGACATTTTTCAATTTATTAAAGCTTTTTTTTTCTTCATAGGAAACCACAACGGAGAGAAATATTGAAGCTTCAGTAGCGGTTAGTTTGAAGGTTCCAGGTATGAATTAGAAAGTAGCATATGGAATTATGCATGTGTGCAAATATATTTGTATGTAGAGGACTTAAAGTACAAGCAGAGGCTTTGTACTTGTGGGAAGAGCTGCTCTCATAGAGCAGTAGTGTTGAAGGGAGGAGTACTGTACATGAGAGAAAGTTGGGGTTCTTGCTACATCCCCAGGGTAAATGAAGGACCAAACTTGATAAGAACAGTTGGGTGAAAACAAGTGGATTTTTGCAGGGATCATGCAGGAAGCTTTTATTGGCAGAGATTTTAAAATACAAAATTATTAATTTTGAATTCTAAGATGCTCCTTGTAAGCATCCACTTTATCCTGGTGTTCATGGAAGGGGTCATACTTTGGGTCCATGCTCCTCACACTCTGATTTTCTGGTGAGAACAGTGGGAGGATTCTGCTCTGAGAACCATCGACAGCTGTGGAAGATTCTAAGACCTCCATAAGAGAGGCAGAATCATGTTGTAGAAAATGCATAGCTAGTGGGAGGGAGAGAGATGACTATGATGCCTAACGGTACCTCTTTCTTTTCTCCTCAGAGTTATTGCACAGGGAAGCCCAGTGGTTTCAGGAGGCAAAGAGTCTGAATGACAGACTAAGAGCAGTTTATACTGATGCCAATTTCCAACACATGTCTTTGCTTGAGAATGCTTCTAATCTAGCCACCAACCAGTGGCTGTGCTGTGATCTGTCCATTTCTTCAAAGCCCATCAGTACCCACGGGCAAGAGCCCCTCACATTGCCGGAGGTCTTTGCCAAACTGAACTCTGTCATGTGTGTGAAAGGTGAAGCTGGTAGTGGAAAGTCTGTCTTCCTGAAGAAAATAGCTCTTCTGTGGGCATCTGGACACTGTCCCCTGTTAAACAGGTTCCAGCTGGTCTTCTATCTCTCCCTTAGTTCAGCCAGACCAGACAATGGATTGGCCAATCTCATCTGTGACCAACTCCTGAAGTCAGAAGGCTCAGTTACTGAAATGTGCATTACGACCATCATCAAGCAATTGAAGAACCAGGTGTTATTCCTCTTGGATGACTACAGAGATATGTCCTCAACTTCCAGGGCCATAGAAAAACTAATTAAAAAAAACTACTTATCCAAGACCTGCTTACTGATTGCTGTTTGTATACACAGGGCCAGGAGCATCCACCAGTATCTTGATACTGTTCTTGAGATCAAAGAGTTTCCCTTCTATAACACCATCTATATGTTGCGGGTGCTCTTTCCACACAACAGGACCCGCCTGCAAAAGTTCATGGTTTTTTCTAAAAAGAATAGCAATGTGGAAGGGATTCAGAAGACCCCTCTCTTTGTGGCAGCCATCTGTGCTAACTGGTGTCAGCATCCCTCTGACCAGCCCTTGGAAAATGTGGATGTTTTCAAGTCCTACGTGGAATGCCTTTTCTTAAAGCACCAAATGGAAGCTGATCTTCTCAAAGCAACTGTGTCCTCCTGTGGCCAGCTGGCCTTGAAAGGTGTTTTTTCATCTTGCTTTGAGTTTAGTGATGATGACCTCACAGAGGCAGGCGTGGATGAAACTGAAGATCTAGCCATGTACTTGATGAACAAGTTCACAGCCCAGAGACTGAGGCCAGTCTATCGGTTTTTAAATCCTGCATTCCAAGAATTTCTTGCTGGGAGGAAGCTGGTTGAGCTCTTGGATTCTGATCGGCAGGAAGATCAAGACTTAGGGCTTTATTATTTGAAACAAATAAATTCATCCATGAAGGCTTTAGGTCTCTTCAGCGGTTTTATGAACTATGTCTCTGGTCATCCTTCAACCAAGGGAGCACCCCAAATTGTGTCTCATTTGCTTCATTTGGCGGATGATAAACAGTCTCTTGAGACGATCTCTGAGAATGATGACTACCTGAAGCACCATCCGGAAATGCCACTGTTTGTAGAATTCTTTAGGATATTGTGGCAACTGTGTCCACAGGATTATCTTTCTCTGGCTTCTGAACATTTACTGATCCTGGCTCTGAAAATTGCTTACCAAAGCAACGCAGTGGCTGCATGCTCTCCAGTTCTTTTGCAGTTCCTTCAGAAGAGAACACTGAAGCTGAACATGCTGAGCTTACAGTACTTTTTTGACCATCCAGAAAGTCTGTTATTGCTGAAGAGCATCCGGGTCTCAATGCAAGGAAATAAAACAACACCGAGAGCAGATTTTTCACTCCTGGAAACATGTTTCGACAAATCACAGGCTCCCACTATAGATGAGGACTATGCTTCTGTCTTTGAACCTATGGAAGAGTTTGAGAGGAGCTTAGTCAAGAAAGAGAATGAAATAAGGAGTTTTAGGAATATGCAACTCAGATCACCCCCAGACCTTAGCACTGGCTACTGGGCCCTTTCTTGTAAGCAGTACAAGATTCCTCTTCTGGAGGTCCATGTGATTGATATGGATGCTGTCGACCAGGGAATGCTCAAGGTTCTGATGACTGTCTTCTCCACCTCAGAGCACATCCACCTCCGTCTAGACCACAGCAGTGGCTTTACTGAAAGCATCCGACCAGCTCTTGAGCTGTTCAAGGCCTCTCTCACCGCGTGCTCCATCAGCCGCTCAGAGCTCAGTGCAGCAGAACAGGAGCTACTGCTCACCCTGCCGTCCTTGGAATCTCTGGAAGTCTTGGGGAAAACCAACCTGGAAGGTATAGATCATTATATTTTGGATAATTATTCTGGTGATTAATTTTATGTTCTCACTTTTCCTTAGTTTTAGCTGGATGAAAATTCTTTGAGATATGAGACCCTACATGCTTGCTGCTAGAATAGATTTAAAATAAAATGTCACCACCATGGTGTGTTAGGCCGGTTATCCAGAGAAACAAATCCAGTAGCACTGATCTCTGTATTGGAAAGAGCTATATGTCAAGAAGTAATTATATATCAAGAAAGCATCCCAGCCTAGTCAAACGCAAGTCCACGGGTCAGATTTTGGTTCATAAGTCCCTCTTTGGACCCACAGAGTCACATGAAATGATGCAGAAAGCTGGAAGATCACAGGCCAGTGGGTGCAGAGTGCTGTGGGTCAAAGATCAGTGACAACCTGGCAGGGCTCCAGCAGCTCTCAGGGTCAGTGGCAGAGTCCAGCCAGCAGGAAGGCAAAGGGGTAGAGAGAGAAGAGGAGGCTTTCCATTTGCCCAGTTGAAAGGAAGCCATACCGCTAAGGAGGCATCATCAGACCTGTTGGACAGGTTGGATTCCACCCCTACACTTTGATACATCTCCAAGCTAACAAAATCATCAAACTACCACACACGGACTGCTAAACGGACCAACAAATCTGTTTTGAAGCAGTAAGGCCCCTGAGAGGCCAGGATGACTAGACTTCGTCTTACATACTTTGGACATGTTGTCAGGATAGACCAGTCACTAGAGAGGGACATCATGCTTGGTAAAGTAGGGGGCAGCAAAAAAGAGGAAGGCTCCCAATGAACTGGATTGACACAGTGGCTGCAAAATGGGCTCACCGCTAGGAACAACTGTGAGGATGGCACAGCCCCTGGCAGTGTGTCCTTCTGTTGTGCATAGGCTCACTATAGGTTGAAACCGACTGATGGCCCCTAACAACAGCAAGTAATTGTTTTGGTCTGTAGTGTGTGTTAGTAATAGGCTGAGTAATAGAATGGCTTCCAAATAATTCAAGTAAAATTAGTAAAATACTACCTAAGGAAGTCCTTCAATGAACAGATATAAATTATTTGTTATTATTTAAGGAATGATCTTCGTGGGAAGTGGTGCTTGAAATAGCCTTCAGTTAGTGAGTGATGCATCTGCCCATTACCTTCGTCTAATTACCTCTGCCTAGCAACAATAATAAAAGAACTCTGGTAGTGTAATGGGTGACGTGTTGGGCTGCTAACTGCACTTTAACACTGCTATTAGCTACTCCAAGGGAGAACCTCTGCCTAGCAACAATAATAAAAGAACTCTGGTAGTGTAATGGGTGAAGTGTTGGGCTGCTAACTGCACTTTAACACTGCTATTAGCTACTCCAAGGGAGAACCATGGTGCTTTCTGCTCCTGGTAGGACTTACAGCTGAGGAAACCAACAGGAGGAGTTTTGCTCTGTCTTACAGGGTTGCTAGAAGTTGAAATTGACTTGATGGCAATGAATTTTGTTTGTAGTTTAACAACAATAACATAAAAGTTGTTCAGAGCCTCTGTGCTAGGCATTCCTTTCAATATCACTTGAATGTTTAAAATGGCTTAATGGGCAATGAAAAAAATGTAATTGAAAGATAAAAATTTCCACAAACTTCTGGAAACCTCCTCAAAAAACACAATTGATCTATGTATTGTGATGAATTGTATGAACCCCAATAAAATGATTTTTTT